ATGCCCATATTTTCTTTGCTAATATAACTTAGATGGGATCTACATGTTTGTCAGGTTTAGAAATAGCTCCAGCTTTCCTACAGAAAATTGGTAACACTGAGTTAATAATGTACAGCAGATGGGTTTGTACAAAATGTTCAAAACAGGGGTTGGCTCAATTTTGCCACTATTTTACCCAGAATAAGCATTTTTTTCTTCTTTGAAACATTAAATTCTTGCATTTCCTTCATGTAGGAAGCAATATCCCAGCCTTTCTAGACATTTTTTACTCCATCATTCTGTTTAGAGAGGCAATAAATGCCCCACCCCACCCTTTTCTATTAATGTGTTTTGAGGGATTTAAATGCACCTGTGTTGACATTTAAATGATCGTAATTGGAATTTGTGGTTGAATTACAGCTAAGAATGTTATTTTTCACCCAAAAATATTTTTTGTGTGCATTTCAAGGATTTCTAACCCCTATTTGTTCAGAGTCAAACGCAGAACCCTGAGGCATTTCAGGCCAATGAGACCAGGGGGCAGTAGTAAAAAAAACATCATACGTCAAGTCGAAAAATATGCACTGGACCTGGGTAGACCACCCACCCATTAAAATCTTGCGTAAAAAAATATGCACCATCATTTTTAAGAAAGACCACCCTAAAATCTTGCGCAATAAAATGTGTTCTTCACAGTTGCTTAATTGACCACCCAAAAATCATGCGCAAGAAAATGTGTTCCTCACAGTTGCTTATTAGACCACCCTAAAATCTTGTGCAAGAAAATGTGTTTCTTAAAATATCTCATTTTAGACCACCCAAAAGTATTTATATTGAGTTGATGTTCGACAAAATTCTGAGTCTGACTTATTAGCAAAGATAGTCTAAGACTGTCCATATGCAGAGACAGGCTAAAATATATGAACTTAGGCTTGTACCTATTCATACCTATTCATTTATTGTGCTTTCCCATATCCACTCAAATCTACTGATCACAGGTTGACCAATTTTGACCAGAGTGTGAAGAAGTAAAAGATTACCCAAATCTCATCTCAGCATGCTGCTGTGTTGTGGATAAAAAAGATGTTGACCCTCTCCACACGAGTGGGCTGGCAAACCAAATTGACAGGACAACAGTCGATCAAATCACGGGATAACACTTGAATGAAATGATAAGGCTTTGAAATATTAATGAATATTTATGTAAATAAACATATACAAGAAACAGGAGTTACAGTACAAACATAAACAAGTTGACAGTTTTCTTTGTTGACAGTGCTAATTCAATAATTAGAGTTCACGAGTCACGGAATTCACAGTTCACAGAGTTCATGGTTCACAGAGTTCACAATGTCTATGGTGATCCGCCATGTTAGAAAGCATGGGTTTTCACGAAATTCAAGTTCACTTTCCCGGAGGAATTATAAAGTTAATCACAGTCGTCACCTTACGACACAAAGTTCACCATTCACTTAAGTATAACAATTGTACTAAAAACATAGTTACCAAACACCACCTCCGAGACAGGGAAAAAAACAGTATCGACACGACGATTGGTGGATTAGACACTGTCGATTGGACAATATATAACACCCCTCAGTTTTAGCAAGGCGAATAACTGCGTATATAAATATTACAGTGTACTTTTTTTTCATTTTGTGCTCAGCCATCTTCCTCAACTCAAATCTTTATTAACAAATATCTTCAAGAAATTCTGCTCAAATGACCATCACAGTATTTTCAAACTTCATCCAAACACATCTCTGAAATATATAAAACAGAAGAAAATCAGTCATAAACAGGCATCATAAATTATTCGTAACTAAGCAGTGTGGATAATTTTGTTTTGTTTTTTTGCACTCTGCAGTGTTTACTTTAAAGTGGACAATTTAAATAAAAGTTTGCCCAAATTCTGAATAACATGATCCGCCTGATAATGAGTCATTAGTCTCAAGAAATTGTTTGAAAATATAGTCACTAGGGGAGGTGAAATAGCAGCTGATTTGGGCCTAGGATAACAGGAAATTATGCTAAAATTGACAATGACAATGATTGACAACACGTCAGAACGATATACAAAGCAACCACTTGAATCCTAGGCATCACATAGTTTTATAGGGTATTCTGAGGGGTGTATGCAAGAACTGCTCTTCTCTGAACAAGAACTAGCAATAAAATTGTGTTGACGGTCTGCAAATATAATAATAAAGGCTAAAAACTCACCCATGTTAAAGTTATCAAAACTTCGAAAGTGTATTGTTGCCGTTTGTTGCCAAGAGTTATCCCTGTGTAGTCTCGGTTAACAGGGCGTAACTAATTCATTCACGACTGGCACTACCGGTCAAAAAGGCCACACTAAGGCCAATTTACTAATCTTTTTAAAAATCTTCAAACGTTAAAAATATTTTATTTGAAATATTCAAATAGCATTTTCTTTCATAATTTATTTACCAGCGACCAATCAAAGCATATTTTCCATGATCATTCTCTATTGAAAGAGTAGAGCCGCAGTTTCTAGAACTGCCGTTGTTATTACATATCAATTCTAATAGAATTCTATGGAATTCAGTTTTTGTTGCATTTGGCCGACATGATATCTAGTCGTATAATACCCAAATGGCCTAACGTCAACTCATTTGGAGCTCAAAACAGCGCATTTATTGTAATTACTGAGGCAAAAAGTAGGATATAGCTTTCAATTTTATATCCCTATTTTTGGTAGACGTATATGTACGTAAACTATAATTTTGGATACGGTCTAAAATACGATTCTATTTTGATTGAGTTGTTATTGATATGAACTGAAACATTTCGAATCCCATTTCATGCAATTTTCTTGCAGGGACCCATTAGACCACCCAATTTTCTTACCCAGAAATGCTTTTTTTCTTTCAGAACTCTGTTAGACCACCCAATTTTCTTACCCGGAAATGCTTTTTTTCTTTCAGAACTCTGTAAGACCACCCAATTTTCTTACCCGGAAATGCTTTTTTTCTTGCAGAACTCGGTCAGACCACCCAATTTTCTTACCCGGAAATGCTTTTTTTCTTGCAGAACTCAGACCACCCAATTTTCTTACCCGGAAATGCATTTTTTCTTGCACTTTTTTCGGCTGGCAGACCCACCCCACCCCACCCCCCAGTTGCTGTTTGCATTTTTTTTTACAGTTGCCCCCTTGACCACACCCAGATATTAAACTGGTGTAGATGTGTAAATGTTAGTTTAATGTTCAATATTTTCTTATCAAAATCCAGCATTTGTGGTGTTTGCTGCATTTATGTTGCCTATAGAACAATAAAATGTTAATTTTTCTCCTTTTCAGGCCTCTTTTTATGTTGTCAACTCTGTCATGACTACTTTTTTGACTTCATTTTTTCAGGAAATTAATGTAAAGTTCCAGACATCTTGCTTCAGCACAAGGATTGCAATACAAATTTGTAACATGCCTCGGAGGTTTGAGATGTTGGAAACATTGAAATATTCCCAAATTTGTGAAAATTGTGTATTCTGTGACCCTTCTGTTAGAGAAGGGTGATCATAGACCAAATATGGCATTTTTTTCATTCATCAAGGCCTATTTTTAACCATAATTCATATTTATTGCACCTATTTTAGTTTATATGTGCATATGTTAGCCAGGGATGGTAAAACATAGCTGTTAGACAGATTCCTTTGGTAATGTTAGTTCTGCAACCATAGATTAGATTAATTCAATCAGTGGCATGTTCAGGGGGTAGGCATACATGTTTCAGTATAGATCTCTAATATTACAATCATTGCAACTGGTTTGCATTTTTTCTGTTTGCATATTGTCCACAGATTCTAAAAATATATTTCTTGTCCGTCCGGATATTTAAAAAAGTGGAAAATTATTGGTATTTTGAGAGATGCTACATGTAAATTTTGTACATTTTTCATCACATGGCAGTAAAAAATTATATTTTTGAAAAAAATTCTAAATTATGAGTGTTTTCTATGTAGTTTCTTTGTAACTTGTCTAATTTTTTCACAGAACTCAGATACTGCCTTTATTAAGAAAGATTTTTAAATTTTAGCACAAAAGGCCTATGGACCTGAGATGCACCAGTGTACATAAAGCAGCATGTGTACTTAAAGGGCCATCATTTTTACAGTTATTCTTTGATTTTGATTTTCTTTCACCGGCATGTTGCCAGAACACATGGGAAGGAAATAAAAAAGACCTTTTGGTGATCCCTGAAGTTTCACCCCTATATAGGACACAGATCACCAAATATTCCTACGCCGTCACCCACGAAACAAGGGCCAAAGCTATTTTTATTCTTCCTCACCCTTTTCCCCCTTTTGCATGGCGATTTTTGTTGACTTTTTGGTGTAGAATCGAAGAAAAGGGTTTGAAAATACATTTTCTGCCAGGTTTTGGTGAATATTCATAATTTTGATGCAGAAGGATACAAGAGTTGAGAGGTTGGTTAGGTTGAAATGTAGGGCCTGAAATTGCATGTTTACTTGTCTCTACTTCCAGCTTGTGTATCTCAAGTTTTTCATGAAGAACCTCATACATGCTTTTGGGCAAGTGGTTGCCACATGTTGCTCCATCTGTGGTAGAAAGCGTTCTACCCAACGAAAATTTGGGAAAAAGTTAGAGCTGGTCTAAGATACGAGAATTAACATTGGAGTCAATGGGGAAATCTTTAGTGATCTGTGGCCAAATATGTTATCAATGTTATCATAATCTGTAAGTTTCATTAAAATCGGGTAACAATTGCGGTCTGTAGTCGTAAGGCTATTATGAAATTCTTGCTTACCACATGTGGCAAACAGCCACTGCTGCAAATAATTGCTATATAATATAGCGACCGGGGGGGGGGGGGGTCTGGAAAAGAAAACGGTCTGTATAAAATAAAAAGTTATAGACCGAATTTATCCCCCTTTAAATCCCCTGAAACTTCAAGTCAGCACGACCACAGGACTGGTAGATGAGTGACAGAATAACGTCATTATTGACAATAGTTATAACTATTATTATAATCAATGCATACCTTTTTAATATTATTACTAGTATGGACGTTTAAAAATAAAAACGTGTTCAACAAAGAGATATTCTTGTAGTTATTTCCCTTGGTCTTCAATATTCAAAAAACATATACATTTGAGACTGCATGATGAAGACTACCTAAATTAAGAAGCGGGCTGAAGTCAGCGGACGTTAAGCTGAGCGGACGTTTTATGACCTTGACCCTCATCTTCGTAAGCTGCGATTAACAAAACACAATATTAAGCCGTTGAAGTGAGCATACGGAATGAATAACAAATGTCCGCGCTACTATATTTAAAGGACAATTTTGGTGTCAGTCATTATCACATATGTGATAGAACTAATTAAACACGTTGCAAATATAATTTTAACACAGAGATCATTGCCACGATAACCGCCGAATTTCTGCTCACTTATAATTCCTTCCAAGCCCAAAAGTTGTTGGGCGCTATTGCACTTTCGTACCTCTACCAGTTCCCGTGGTCATAGGCACTTGAAATTTTCAGAGGATGTTAAGGGTGACTAGCAATGACCACACACCAAATTTCAGCCAAATCGATAAATAACTTTTTATTTTACCGACCTTTTAATTTCTAACGAGAGAGAACTTCATCCGTTTGACGCCATTTGCTTTGTTTACTAATTAGACTGGAATAACAAGACACTAAGACGGAAACCGACTCGAATAACAAGACACTTAGACGGAAACCGACACACTGCACTAGCTGCCTAACACTGCAGTTCATAAAAATTAATATAATTTTCGTATACTTTAATTTTTGCGCGAAGCCACCATTTTCTATAAAATACTATTTGGTGTTGATCAGTGGATTGGCCTTTAGGTGTAAATATTGCCGTGACCTTGATTTTGACCTTGAGGCCAAACTTCCCATCCATATCGGGGCCTTTGCGTTTATGCTTGCCGTGGCCTTATTTCTTACTGTATTATCAAAGTTAATGTTCGAGGTGAAAGCAGAGATGACGTCCTTCAGAAAAGATAATTAGGTCAAAGTCGTAGGTCAAGGTCATGTTACAGAAAACTAAACTCAAACTTTTCAAAGTCATTTTTGGGACATTTGACCTTGACTTACGACCTTGACCCCGTAACCATTTTCGAAGGCTATCACATTGGCTTGAATCATGAACGTTTAACTTGGTCCTGTCGCACACTGCTCGGTCAGTAAACGGTCAAACGCAGAGGGTCCGTGTCCGAAAGGAAGTCAATGGGCGTGGTCAATGTGAAAGGTCGTGGTGACCTCCACTAGTCACCGTTAACCATCCGTAACCTTGACTCTGACCTTGAGTCCAAACGTCCCATCCATCTCGGGCCCTTTGCGTTTATGCTTGAGGTGGCCTTATTTCTAACTGTATTATTAAAGTTAATGTTCGAGGTGAAAGCAGAGACGACGTCCTCCAGAAAAGATAATTGGGTCAAAGTCGTAGGTCAAGGTCATCTTACAGAAAACTAAACTCGGACTTTTCAAAGTCAGTTTTGGGACATTTGACCTTGACTTAAGACCTTGACCTCGTAACCATTTTCGAAGGCTATCACCTTGGCTTGAACCATCGACGTTTACTTTGGTCCTGTCGCACACTGTTCGGTCAGAAAAGGGTCAAACGCAAAGGGCCCGTGTCCGAAAGGAAGTCAATGGGCGTGGTCAATGTGAAAGGTCGTGGTGACCTCCACTAGTCACCTTTAATCATCCGTGACCTTGACTTTGACCTTGAGTCCAAACTTCCCATCCATCTCGGGCCCTTTTCGTTTATGCTTGTCGTGACCCTATTTCTTACTGTATTATCAAAGTTAATGCTTGAGGTGAAAGCAGAGACAACGTCCTTCAGAAAAGTTACAAAGGTCAAAGTCGTAGGTCAAGGTCATGTTACAGAAAACTAAACTCAAACTTTTCAAAGTCAGTTTTGGGACATTTGACCTTGACTTACAACCTTGACCCCGTAACCATTTTCGAAGGCTATCAACTTGGCTTGAATCATGGGCGTTTATCTTGGTCCTGTCGCACACTGCTCGGTCAGAAAACGGTCAAACGCAGAGGGACCCGTGCCCGAAAGGAAGTCAATGGGCGTGGTCAATGTGAAAGTTCGTGGTGACCTCCACTAGTCACCTTTAACCATCCGTGTCCTCGACTTCGACCTTGAGTCCAAACTTCCCATCCATCTCGGGCCCTTTTCGTTTATGCTTCCCGTGACCCTATTTCTTACTGTATTATCAAAGTTAATGCTTGAGGTGAAAGCAGAGACAACGTCCTTCAGAAAAGATAAATGGGTCAAAGTCGTAGGTCAAGGTCATGTTACAGAAAACTGAACTCAAACTTTTCAAAGTCAGTTTAGTTTTCTGTAACATGACCTTGACCTACGACTTTGACCCAATTATCTTTTCTGAATGACGCCGTCTCTGCTTTCACCTCGAACATTAACTTTGATAATACAGTAAGAAATAAGGTCACGGCACGCATAAACGCAAAGGGCCCGAGATGGATGGGAAGTTCGGACACTAGGTCAGGGTCAAGGTCACGGATGGTCAACGGTGACTAGTGGAGGTCACCACGACCTTTCACATTGACCACGCCCATTGACTTCCTTTCGGACACGGGCCCCTCTCCGTTTGACCCTTTTCTGACCGAGCAGTGTGTGACAGAACCAAGGTAAACGTCCATGATTCAAGCCAAGGTGATAGCCCTCGAAAACGGTTACGGGGTCAAGGTCGTAAGTCAAGGTCAAATGTCCAAAAAATGACTTTGAAAAGTTTGAGTTTAGTTTTCTGTAACATGACCTTGACTTACGACTTTGACCCAATTATCTTTTCTGAAGGACGTCGTCTCTGCTTTCACCTCGAACATTAACTTAGAAAATACAGTAAGAAATAAGGCCACGGCAATCATAAACGCAAAGGCCCTGATATGGATGGGAAGTTAAGACTCAAGGTCAAAATCAAGGTCACGGCAATATTCACACCTAAAGGCCAATCCACTGATCAACACCAAATAGTATTTTATAGAACATGGTGGCTTCGCGCAAAAATTAAAGTATACGAAAATTATATTAATTTTTATGAACTGCAGAGATAGGCAGCTAGTGCAGTGTGTCGGTTTCCGTCTTAGTGTCTTGTTATTCGAGTCTAAATAGTAAACAAAGCAAATGGCGTCAAACAGATGAAGTTCTCTCTCGTTAGAAATTAAAAGGTCGGTAGAATAAAAAAGTTATTGATCGATTCGGCTGAAATTTGGTGTGTGGTCATTGCTAGTCCCTCTTAACATCCTCTAATAATTTCAAGTTCCTACGACCACGGGAACTGGTAGAGGTACGAAAGTGCAATAGCGCCTGTTGTGTGAGACTGTGAGATACGATGGCTGATAAGGGACATGAAAAATAGTATAATTTGGTTTTTTTAATATTCAACCAAGTCAGTTTTAATATAATTTGGTTTTTTTTTGTAATTTTCACCCAAGTCAATTTTAATATAATTTGTTTTTTATAATTTTCACCCAAGTCAATATTACTAAAATTATTATTATTATTATTACGTCTGAAAGCCTATTGAGATTACTAAAATTATTATTAGGGGTTTTTTTTGTGTTTTGTCCACAAATCGGATTTCTCAGAATCTAACCATAGGATCGTTCTGAAACTTTTACCTATCCCCCCAAAAATGGGTGGTGGCTGTTGATTAAATATATTTTCAAAACGTTTTACGAATCCGAAATCACCGAATTTTACGAAGGAATGCATTTGACCTACAATGCTGTAACTTTGTGACTATTTGACCTATTTTACTAATTCTTTTTTCTTTGAGTATCTTGAAACATTTACTTCAAATCTGCAATTTCGGAATTTGGCATTTCGAAAATTCGTCGCTGTCATTTCGAACCGGAAGTTATTACTTCTTTAATAGTTGTGCGATTTTCGTGAAATTTAGAATGTTAGTAGATCTTGCCAATGCGACTTCAATGATGTCCTTGGAAATTTTCTAAATTATCTCCCCTTGGTGAAATTAAGGATCAAAGTTTTCAAAAAAATCGTCGAAATATAGGTCAGAATGACCTAAAAAAAAAATTTGATACTAGACAAGTAATTACTGATTCGTACACAAAATATGGAGTTTGTCGATCGAACCGGAAGTGCCACCATCTTTAAACGTGAAAAATCAAAAAGGCTTTTTTGCTATTTTACTTACAGACTCGGGCGTCATATTTTCGGAATCCTGGAAGGAATGCCTAAAAATCTATCGGATCAGAATTTTGATTTCGGTCACGTGATGGTCACCATTTTGAATTGAAAATGAAAAATAGAAGCAATTTGAAGGGCCGGGACTTTGGAACACAAGAACTCTCCTTCTAATTAAGCTAGAATGTTCAAACGTGGTGTAGGCGTTCACTAGGTCAATGTCATGATTGAGTTCAAAGATGAGCATTTTTTGCCTAGGGTAAGCAGAGATAAGCAAGCTGATTTGTTGATTCTTTAGGGCACGATGACATTGGTTATAATGAATGGAGGGCGATGAAACTCTTGTCAATCGAGAGGCTAATAGCTGGCCTGTTGTGTGAAATCATTGTATCATTTTTTGAAAATGTCCGGGGTAGCCGAAAAAAGGAGATCGAAATCCAAAAAGTCGTATTTTTACGATTTGGGGCATTTTTAGAGGTCGTGTAAAGTAAAATAAAGCATGCACATACATATATTATTGATATTAAATATATCATATAAAAAACTAAACAATGAATCAGCTGTCATTGACAGATTTTATATTATAAGCATGGTCAGTGGAAGGTCAGCGTATTGTCTAATTCCTATTATTATTAAGCTTTCATATTACATATGAAAGCTTATTGTTTCTGTTAAGATTATTATTGTTATTAAGCTTTCATATTACATATGAAAGCTTATTGTTTCTGTTAAGATTATTATTGTTATTTTTTTTTTGTGTTTTGTCCACAAATCGGATTTCTCAGAATCTAACAATAGGATCGTTCTGAAACTTTTACCTATCCCCCCAAAAATGGGTGGTGGCTGTTGATTAAATATATTTTCAAAACGTTTTACGAATCCGAAATCACCGAATTTT